TCGAATGACCACTAAAACTCCGTCGAAAAGTCATCCACAAATCATAGCCGAGCAAGTAATGTGCGTTAAAGGTACAAAGTAATCTTATTCTGGCTGCCACAATGCACCAATGAGGCGTATTGTAAAATCCAGTTATGGTATTGAAAGTAGAGGATTCAAGCCATCGAATGAACTTCAAGAGTTTGAGGAAAAGGCGGAAAAGCCTTCTTCCCAGCGCGCTAGCCATCAATACAAAGTCGCTTTGATTCATAAAGTTTTTATTTGATAAAATCAATTCTAGAACCACACTGTTGTACTCTATATTAGATGCGTATATCATGGCGCGTCACAAGTTCGTGGAAGAGGCGCTCTCTTGTCTGAGGATAACTTTTCGTTCGTCATGCCTTTGCTTATTCGCTGTTGCTACCGTCTAAGTGCTTACATAGTGTCCATATCGGCACATCGTTATTGCTTACTCCACGTCAAGATTACTGCGATCAACTCACAGAGCGCTCGAACGATGTCTTCAGAAAATTAGTCGGCACTCAAAACATCTAGTCGGCTTGCACAGCTTAGGTCTCTGGAATCCATCGTATCTTCGCGACCCAGAAAAACGTTCATAAATAGCAAAATACAGATGGGCGGTCATATAGTAAGAAGATCACACAACAGATGGACAAAACGAGCTGTAGAGTGAACTCCATGAGAATACATTCGTCTCCGAGGACGACCACTCACACATTGGGTGGACTTGTTCGTTGGAAGAATTAATCGAGTGTAGTCACACCTGCCTACATATTACAGATCATGGTATGAAATTCGCGCCAGCCGTCACGCTCGAAGGAAACCACCACCATGTACGACAATCGCGAGGAGAGGAGACGAATGGAAAATGTGGCGGGGTTCACAAAATTCCTGAAGACGGAGCACACAAGTATTCACGTAAGTAAGTATTACCTATCACTATGGTTATAAAACGGTTTACCCAATAATGTAGAGTGGTGTGCAAGAAATTTCGCGTCGCCTGGAATTCGAACCCACATTTTACCCTATCCTGGAGCGCGTGCTGAGCCGTTGCACTACTGACCCGTTTTGACACTACTCTTCTTTCTACGCTACAGCGCGTTATCTGTCAACAGTCAACCGTCAATGGTCTGGCGTGGGTAGTCGCTATCGACATTGAATCCACTTATGCTGACAGATATTGGGTATTAATGACCAATAAAAATTCAGTTTATTTGACCGTCTCTTGCGGTGGTATGATGTTTGCAATATACGCGAACAACATCCTAGAAGGTTCAGTCTATTTTGAGCCACTGAAACTGATATCTATGTCAAAGAATCATATTTCTGCACCTGTAACAGTCACCACAGTTATACTATTTGTGACTCATAACGTAGGGCAATCTACGGTATTCTTCGCATGCATAGTTGTCCCTTAATTTTTTATCGCATTCTGACACTTTTGTTGATTCGATTCATTCACTCAAAGATATCAACTAATCAACAATATAGTTACCATTATGAAAATAATATGCAGCCATTTTGTTAGGCATATATTGGATGCCCTCTTTCCAGAAGGAATGAGGATGGCGGCCAAAGAAGTCAGTGAGTTCGCTTCTGAGCTGGTTGTATTCTTTACTATAGTAACTATTCGCAATCAGAAATCAGATCATTTTATTTGATCACCATTTGCGATGGTATGGTGATACAATATATCCATCAATGTGGAGTGAGGTGCAAAACCATTTGCGTCAAACTGGGACTCGAACCCAGATCTCACTCTTTCCGGGGCGCATGCTGAACCGTTGCACTACCGATGCCCGTCTTGCAAACCACTCTTTCTACGCTACAACGCGTTATCTGTCAACAGCCAACCGTCAGCGGTCTGACAGGGTAGTCGTCATCGACATTGAACCCACTTATGTTGATAGATATTGGGTATCAATAACCAATAGAAATCATTTTATTTGACTTTATAGTTTATTTTTCACTATTTTTACTATATCCTATTTACTACAAAGTTACTACTTCTTTGTTATATATACCTGAGGCTACTGTTATTCTAATGAATCTTCTGAAATATTCAGTTCAAAACTTCTCATGAAATTATGTTGTATGTCTATTCTTAGACGCGATCTTTTCCAGTGATCTTTTGTGCTCGCACTTGTTATCTACGAAAAGGCCTCTCTTTTCGGTTAGAGAGACTGTTTACTGTCGGTTCGTATATAAGTGAGACAAGGGTTTAGACGACACTGACGTCTTCTGGTAATGGCCCACTAATGTTCGTCTCTGCAATGGCCCGCTGATTCCGTGTCGTCCAGTAACTACATGTCGCCAACTTGCTTATACTGTATTGTCACTACTGCTATAAACAGTTATAATCCAAGCGTCAGCTGTTCTTCGTAAAGGTCCCGTGTAGCAAAACCCGTGCAAAGTCTCGAGTTAGTAACTTTTCGGTGCTAAAGACTAACCCGAAGCTACCTATCGAACAGTCAACACACTGACAATTTTTCTTCAGCACATGCAGCCTCAGGGTGCGGAAGAGACATAGTCCGATGGAGCAATATTGGGCTATAAGGTGGTATTGGTGTCGTGGTCCAGCCAAGTTTCTCCAGAATGTGGTGACTCGACTTGCAAATTGAGGTCGAGCGTATCTTGGAGAAGGGCGTTGATAAGTCGTTCGGAATTTTTCTCGCATTGTTGCGGCCAACTTGCGGAATTGTTTTCCGTAGAGTTCACATAAATTGTCTGCTTGTTGTCGTTCAGATACCAAAACAGCATGCCCTATCATCCTAGAAAACTGGGAGCATTATCTTCCTAGCATGCACGAGGTGTCCATGGAGCCATCACTACGGTAGAACCCATCTAGATGGCGAGCGATGGTGCTATGGCCGTATCCAAGTGTCTGGCTAAAGCTACTAAAATATTCACCATCACATCGTCTTTTGGCAATAACCCGATTTGAGATGGAAAAAACTAGATGAAACATTAGTGCAAAGGAAATTATGAGACGACCTAATGATACAAATGTGGTTGCACTTCGGTGAAATACGAACGCGAAGAAATGGGGAAATTTTCCAAGAAAAATCAAAAGGACATGAAGATTTATTCAAGATTGACTGTTTTTAGAATCTCGTGATAAACATTCAAAATTAGTCCAAAAAAAGAATGTTTTAAGCCTAAACGACGTTGCTACGCCAAGGTCATACACCGGTGTTTCGGAGGTTTTGGCCTCCTCGTCAGTGGGGCGGCAGTCACTGACGAGGAGGCCAAAACCTCCGAAACACCGGTATACGACCCTGGCGTACCAACCTCATTTAGGCCTGAAACATTCCTTTTTTTGAAACATGAAGATTATAGTAAATTTTACACACAAAGACGTATAGATTACATTTTGATACAAAATATAACAGTTTATTGCTTAGAAGCCGCTGAAAAAAGGAAAAGAATGAGGATCCAAATCGTTAAGTACTAAAAAGTTTAATTAAAAATACCTTATAACTATTTTTTCTTGTAGAGACAGCTACAAAGTTTGCGCCTATATGGGAGAAAGTGAGATTCAAAATGACTTAGCCAATAGTGAAAAAGTAGCTGAACAAACTCAGAAAGCTTCTAAAACGAATCAAGGATCTTAAATTGGCCAGAAATTAATTTTAAAATCTAATTAAATGAAAAAGGCTCTCAAGAATACGAAAGGGAACGTTTGAAGATGACCCTTTTCAAAATCCATGAGAAAGATTTTTCAGAAACTCCCATAGAAGTTCTAATAAAGGTCAAAAGACCTTCTCTGTATCTGACTAGCCTTTATAGAATATGTGATATGAGAATATCATGAGTAACTTGCATACATGAGTGGCCAACTATGCGACTGCTTTGTAAACAGTCTATAGGATCAATAGCAGAGGATTCAAAAAAGGCATTAGATGATGTTTTCCACCCAGTTGACAGGAATTAGCGAAATTGAAGCTAGTTTGATCGTCGGAGAGAGAATGTACTTCCTTGCCATGAATTGAACATCCAAGTGGTTAGCTCCAAAGTGGCTGCCGAGTCCATCAGTGAACGTCCTCGTCACCGTAGGCCGGCAAATACAATCACTGAGAGGATATTCGATTAGGAAAAAACAATAGCGGAATACATAGCTATCTGCTAATGACTATATCCGGACACTTTGAAAAAGAAAGCATAAAAACTAAAAGTGAGCGCAGTGAATCAAATTTAGAGGTTCCTGTCACTCTCGTGCTTCAGTGGCAGATGTTTTTTTTTGTAGTTTCGATTTCATCCTATCATTTCCGATGCTAGTTCTTGCTGACTATAAGGACGACTTTGAAAGAAGACTTATTAGTATTAGGGCAAAACATAAGGAAACAAACTGCCAAGACTGTGATGGTTCTTCTGGCATTCATCTAGAAGATCACTTTCGTGAGACCTTATAATAATTTTCTCGTGTAATGTCGAAATATTGTAGCTATCCCGCTGTGGCAACCGAACCTATCGTCTTCTCTACTCATCAATATTTGAAAAGTTCGTGACTATTTCCTGATACTCCAAAGTACTCCTCATAAAACAATCACAAGTTTGTCAGAGATTGTGATGGACTCTGCGGATTGAACATTTGTGGTTTGCTGCGCAACTATAATGTTTTCAAGTGCGACCAATCGATGACATGCCGAATTTCTCACGAGATAAATATAAAGAAGAAAGTTTGAACGAGAAAGGTTGTAACTAATTCACATTATGGAATTACATTATGAAAAATTGCTATATCTCTAAACTCTGAAGGACTGTATATGCATATATATGTATGTATACATGTATAATATTTATATATGGACAATATATATATATATATATATATATATATATATATGTATATATATATATATCGACTCTGAAGACTGAAATTTTCCACAAGCAGATCACCATTGTTCGCTATGATTCTGTAAGACTTTATTCGAAGACGAAATTCTGAAGTATAATTATTGGCTATACCCAATGATGTTGAGTAATGTATAAAATTTTGACGTCCGGTAGGGTTCAAACCCGCAATTCACCCTTTTCAGGGGCGCGTGCTTAACCAGTTGCACTACTGACGCCTTTTTGCCACCACATTATAATTATCGTGCTACGAAGAAGCTCGCGCGACGTTACACCTCATTCTATCATACTTTCTTTGCTGATAAAGCTTGTAGCACGAGGGCGTTTATAAACAATTGTATTCGGCTAACGTTTCGACGGGTTTCGTAAAACAAGTACGTAATTAGCATACGCTTCATTCTCACACCGTATGAGGTTGTTCATTCGCGATGTTCCACAAAAAGAAGGTTCGCAAACGAAAGAAGGCGAGGTTTCAGAACGAGGACGAATGACAGTGGACTATCGCTCGAATCATTGGCTCTAAAAATTACGGAACGCGTCCAAAGCATTAGTCGAATGAAACTGATTAGTGACAAGCTTGTTCTACAACCTTTGCATGATTAATTGATTATGCTTAGGTTAAGGGAAACACTTTACAACATCTCGTTTACTTTCACCAGTGATCTTCTAGCGATTTCTGAAAGACCCTTTACTATTATAATATTTTATGTGACGAGCCTCCTAAAAGAAGATCTACTACCAAACCACGTTGAGTCTTTAGCAAAATTTCTTCTCCTCTTCGAGTCAGATCATTTTCGAAACTATGCTTTGCTTCTAAAAGCGGATAAAATACTAGGTAAAAGGTCCTCGTTCCCACATATCAGAAGTAGCAAATATATCACAGAAGTAGTCCGATTAAGAAAACCAAATGCTCACAGTCTTTGAGCAATCGTAACATTAAATAACTGAACTTCTCCAATACATGAATGCGCTCTCTATTCAAAATCATAGGAAATCAACTTGTGTTTGTTCTGGTGCACGTAGACTTTGAAAGGAAAAGGCTTTGAACACAGCTTTGAATCGCCAATCAGTGGTTTCTACAAGGTCATGACAAGTGCATAATTAATGTTCAGTAGAGAAACAGATGAAAGAAGACATAAATTTGCCGTCACTTCACAAATGAATTTATTCTCAAAGCCTTTGGATAAATGTTATCTGCTGTGTTACGATTTGTACGTTTCATCAAATAGTCCACACATGCAGGCGTTAAGAATTGTGTAATATCCGCTCTTCGAGAAGTTTACAGAGAATACACGTAGAAATTGAATTCGATGTTTCTGTATGGACCGTAACATGCTCCCAAAAAACGTACGCTTGCGAATACAAATTTTTTCACGTAAAAATCTTCACAACAAAAATTCACGCAGAAGACACATATGGACTCAGTGGGCGCAGTGGTTAGGCGCGCCTTTGAATAGTAATCGCAATGTCATTAATATAATCTAGGCTAATTGAGCCTCCCAATTCTTCGGAGTCAGTGATTTGTACCTGAAATGTTTGGGATACTCACTCTGCTTCATGAGATCGGTGACTGTTTGCGTTGAGACCTCAGAGTGCCCCGACACGGTTTCTACTTGGAATAAGACGATAGTAGAAATGGTGAATTGTAGCATGGCAAGACGTAGTATGAATCGATGGAACAACGGTATATAAAGTTGTCACAGAACTCCTTGGGAATGTTTTATGGAGAAGTTGTGCTTGATAAATGAATCGCATTCCTTTTCAGTTGATCGTAAATTTTCACATCTATTTATTCATGGCCTTTAAAGTAAAATCTCAGGTCATCCGTGTATAAGAAGTCTAATCCGCCTACCATATTTATCTTATGAAAACGGCTTATGTGCACTTCAAGAGGAAGTGAAAGGGCTTCTAAGTGCTGAGTAATGGAAATCTGTTGACAAGAAAGTGCCGTGAACTTTTCAAGCCTTTAGAACGCAATAAGAGCTTTCAACTACTTTCATAATTATTATGTTAGCCAAACAAGCTCATCATTTTGTTAGATGAGACATCTTAGGCTTGTCTGCAAAGTGTTATTCGGCTGGCTTCCAACTAACACTACGTAGACCCAATTCACCTAATCATTTTCACTGAGTTTATCAGTGAATGGAAGAGAAAGATGGAAGTATGTTGTAACAGTGGCACAGATCGGCACGAAAGATTTTTTTATTCTTTTCTAACTTTAGAAAAAAGAGGACTGAGGAATTGATTGAGAGAATGAGGTGTGAGGGAATAAATGAGAACAACGAGATAAACTGGCAAAGCAATAAATGTTTTAAGCGAGTGCACTGCCGATATTTGTCTACTAGATCAAAAAAATTACTTACAGAATAGATACCCTATACCGCAGACAGTGGTAACAGAGCAAGGGTTCGGCAGTGCGGTAGTGTATAAGTTAGCAACGTTCCCAGCAAAGGAGAAACGCGGATACAACTCTGGTCGAGGTTCAGATCCTTACATGGCAATCAACATTTCTGGTTATACAATTATATCAATGAAGCACTACTGTCGAAGAAGTAAGCTAAAGAGTTTTACAAATGAGCTGATCTATCAAACTGATGCGCAGAAAATGTAAGTAAGGAAGTCTGAAAGATATCTGGTGCTGCTAAGTTTTTTGCAAGCCCGTTCCGCCAGCAAGCAATGTACTAAGTACCGATTAAAAGTGAGAAGATAAAAACAGTATTAATTAAAAGAGTAACTTTATCGATGGAAACTGATTGACACGGGAATGATTATCGAGAAGACAAATCACTAATCTGATTAGAGGAGCAAGCGAGATGCACCGATTGACGAGTGCTGTAACTGCCAGACAATCTGGCTTCAAACAAAATTTATTAGAAGTGGATCGAAATTAGTGCTTGGATTATTTCATTCTCAAATTTATGATCCCTAAAGGTGACGACATTTTACAATCAGTGCTGAAAATGGAGAGTATAACAAGTTGAACGTCAAGAAAAAATCCGATGTTCTCAGCTCCAGCAGTCGCTAAGCAATCATATTCACTAATAGGGCAAGCTGTTATATGCTCCTATATTGTGAACAGCCAAAAAGAATCGACTTCTAATAAACATTAGGCATAAGGTCGTATTCCAGAAAAACACGAAGTAAGAGGCGAAACAGTAAAAAGTCTTTAGGTACATGCAAAACTCACGTGAAATCCGGAGACCTACGTGGATGGCTAATGAGAGGAAATGAACCGAATGCATGAAGTTCTGACTAACGCAGCATATGTACATACGTATATATATATATATATATATATGCATATATATGCATATATATGCATATATATGCATATATATATGCATGTATATACACATATATATGGTTCTTTTCGATTATCCGAGGACGAACGAATATTCGAATTAGTTCGGCAAGAACCTTTCATAGGAGTGTTAGTAATCATTTGATAGGGTTAGTTTCCACGATTCCAACGCTGTTCTTATTTTTCGGAATGATGGTTTCACTGCAGTGTAACAAGGAAATTAATATGTCGTTTCACATCTTCAGTGCGCTTATTTACCGGATAACCTGTGGTCGCATGTGTGGCCGCCGTAGACTCGATGCGGCCTAAAATCGATCGATCGAAAACGTTGGCACGCCAATCGTAAGTGCAGTTCTTTTCATACGATTGGCAATTTTTTCTCCGCTCCCAAGGAAACTCCAGATCAAACGTATGAGACTAATACTACGAGATTTTCTCTTCACGATAGTATGATTTTTGCGCTTCCAGTGAAGTAACACCAAAATTGTGTGGCCGATGTAAAACATTATATTATTTTAAATCTTAGAGCGTTATAAAAGGGTGTTTCAAAAAAGCGGCCAAACTAGCCAGAGATTTAAGCTTTCGATTGATCACTAACACCTTTATGAAAAGTTCTTGCCCAATGAATGGGATTAAATATTCATTGGTCTCCGGATAATCAAAACAATCATAAATATATATGTATATATATTATATATATAATATATATATTATATATAAGTATATATATATATATATATATATATATATATATATATATTCTTCCGGATTATGCAACCAAAAGTTGGTAATACAAGTGTTGCGAACGATAAAATTGTATTTTGACCACACCTCAAGTCTATAAAATCTTCTATCCTTCTCAGCTTGAGAAATTTGTGTCACATTTGTCTGAGCCTAGTTCTTTCTTCTAAACTCATAAGAGTTGGCAAGTGTCTGTAATGTAAATATGGGAACGTACGCCTTAACATGGTCATCGTATGATTCAGCAACATTAGACTGAACTAGAATTCAATGAAATTAGTAAGAATGGACCAAAATACTTATGCAGCAGTCGATTATATGCGCAAAAATTCTAAGGTTTTCGTGGAAAATCGATAGAGCAAACGAATTGATTACGAGAATTTACAGAATATGTGATATTCGGCTACTGAAGAACAATAGGACAAGCAATGTTAGCGAGAGTATCTTTACAAGAATATTATCGCAAGTGCACAAAACAGAGAATAAATTTGGTCCAACATAGACAAGGAATACATCTTCAAAATCCAATCGGTGCTGGGTGTGAGTAAACAGGTGCTTCTCGCGCAAAAGTTGCCCAATTTGTCAGCTTTGATGACCGGCAGGGATAATGAAGAATTTGCGACCGAGCTATTTGGTAGGAAGATTTAGCATTGCGTTCACTGTTAACGATGGCTGCAAACCCATTGATACATTCACCTTATATGGAGTGGAAATGCGCAAACAAGAGTTATGAGAATCTTTCTCTTCTCTTATCCCATGGATGAAAATCCAAATCAACTTGACGATCACCACTGTATTCTCAGATACAACAAGAAAAAGCTAAATTTGAATAAAAAGCAACTATGCGGTTAGCTGTCATTGAGTTGCTTGACAAGGATCGCTTTATCTCAACGGAGACGGAAAAGAGATTCTTGCACTGTTGAAGAGAAACTACTCTAAGCAACTCAATCGTTCTCAACCAACTCTTTGTTCGCCCGAAAGGACAGAACCAAATTCAATTAAAGAGTAGCGGGATTGTATCCTACGCTCGGCGCAACCAGTATACTTTATTTCGTCAATTAGGTAAAGGAGATGTAGTAGAATCTACTCCTGCAAGGCGGAGAGAATTATGTACACCATTCGCAACAGGGTAGAACGTTACCCAGAAGTACGCCAAATGATAGAATCAGTAATAAAG